ATTATATTAATTAGTATATAAATAATTAATATAATTAAATATACTAATTAATTAAATATTAATATATTATATGGAAATTTATTATATATAGGGGTATCGAAAAGTAATCAACATTTCTTCGATAAGTTACATTTTAGTTTAATTAGACTTGATTAGATAGATTTTAATTAAATTTAGTTACATTTAGTTTGTGTTAATGAAAAATCGAAGAATTTTTTAAAAAGAGAATTAAACAATTTCTTTTACGTAAAACAAAAAATATTAGAAAATGATGAACAAATTTTTTCTTGATTTCCATTTAAAACTTTCTTTAATAAACAAATATTTTTTTCACCTGCAAGGAAACATTTCCATTACTTTTTGGTCCCCCCTCATATAAAACAAAAATTAAATCGATTAATTAAATTTCTTTATACATTTCTCTCATTTATTTACTTTACAAAAAAAAAAAAAAGAAGTTTCTTGAAATAAAATAATTCTTAGATAAAAATCTTCCGTTCACTTATCTTTATTATACTAATCTATTAACTTAATGGTAAGATTTAATGAAGGATTTACCATCATGAACGAGTCAGCATCGATTTCATGGAACCAATTTGAACGTCTGATTCACTCACGGTAGTAAAACTACTATTTTATTAAAACTAACCCACACACACACACACACATACACTTACACATATGTCTAAGCGTATACTTGCACGTATAATACGTACGCATAGTAAACGCAGAGACGATCAGATGGAGGGGTTGGTAGGGTGGGGTGGGGTGGGGAGGGTGAGGTCCATTCATGCGCTAAACACGCACGTGCTTACACATCAAACACACACACACACACAACACACATACATTATCGTGGTTACCTTCATTCATAAAAATCTCGCGAGTTCTTGGAACACGAGCTGCGCAGGAGGATTACGAGACTTGTTAGTCGACAACTCGATTGAAAGGAAAAAAAATAAAGAAACAGAAATAAGTAAAAGAAGGAAATAATATTAAAATAAGGAAGAAATAATAGAGGAAGGGGGGGTGGTGGGGAAAAAGATAGGAAATATCAAAATTTTGGTAGACACGTGCGTCATATAGATAAACTGTTTTATGGTATTCATGGTTTTTTCCAGAATTACATTAATGTAATAAAAATATAATAAAAATATAATAAAAAATAATAATATAAAAATATAATAAAAAATAATAATATAAACGTACAATAAAAATATAATAAATAATANAAATAATAATATAAACGTACAATAAAAATATAATAAATAATAATAATATAAAAATATAATAAAAATATAATAAAAAATAATAATATAAAAATACAATAAAAATATAATATAAAAAATATAATAAAAAATAATAATATAAAAATATGATAAAAAATAATAATATAAAAATATAATATAAAAAATATAATAAATTTATATTTGTTTCAAAAAGAAAACAAACTAAAAAGAAAAAAATTTTTAATTTTAATTTTTTTGTTTTTTTTTCACTTTTTAATTTATAATTATAATAATTTATAATAATTTATATTTTTAATAAGAAATATAAAAAAAATGATAGGAATATTATATACGATAAAAAGTTCATACTTAAATTAGTATTTTTAAATTAAATTAAAGGTAACTACAATTTATTATTTTCTTTTTTTTTTTTACCTTTGTTCTTGGCAAATATATTATTGACACCTGTTGAGAAAAAAAACGTCAAAATAGAATGAAATAATTATCACCAATGATTTGATAAATAATAATACATTTCATGGATGACAGCATCATCATTGTCTTATTAACTTTGTGGCTTTCATTATCGTACATTTCCGTGGAATTATTTACACTTCTTATCTTCATATGTTTACGTGTGTATATGTGTACTTGTGAAATTAACAATAAATGAAATGATACTCCACGTAAAGGTAATGTTCGTTTAGTGATTTCAAAACCATCTTGTCAATTTTGTTAGAATCGTTATCGATAATGATTAAATATGACAAAAATTCATTTTAAGAGAATTAATCGTTTAACTTTTTTGAACTTGAAGAAAATTATCTTAATTATACTTTTCATTTTCTTTTTCTTTTTCTTTTTTTTTTTTTCTTAGCAAAGAGTTGTTATTATTAATAGTATGAATCATCGTAAAAAATTCATGCAATTAATTCGTAATTACATCTTAAATAATTTCACGGTCATCTTTGTTCATTCTAATTGTAAATTTCTTTTGAGAATCGTACATTATATTATACTTTTTATATCTGACCCCAAAAAAAAAAAAAGAAAATCTTTTTGGAAACGGGAATTTTTTTTTTTCATCAGAAAGCATTTTTTACCATTCACATAATCGATAACTCAAGCGAGTTACTTTCTCAGAGCCACGTATAACTACTTGACCCAAATAAAATCGTGTTCTAAGAAGAGAATGTTCTATTGTACGAAAATAGGAAAGAAGAAAATGAAAAAAAGAAGAAAAATAGAATATTTAAAAAAGACATAAAAAAAATCCCTAAACACAAACGTAACGACGCTGGATATTTTTTGTTTTCTTTTTTTTTTATTTGGAATACTTCGACATAAAAATGAACATAATCGTTTCGATCTATCGTCAGAATTCTTATAACATTTCTTTCAATCGAATTTACTGTTACATACGACTATCCTAACTAATAATACAGATAGATGAATTTAGTATCGTTCCCAGAATATTAATGAAACCCCCATAAAACTTGAGACCATAACTGTTAAATCTCACCTCATCGATTGGGTCACTAACCTTCAATCAACATCATCATCATCATCATCATCGACGTCATTTATCTTTCTTTTAAAAAACTAATATTAAAAACTTTTTTTTTAATATTTATTTCAAACTTATTACTGAACAATCGTAATAATAAAAAAAATTTAGAAAAAAAATAAAAGTAAATATAAAATAAAATAATTAAAAAAAAATAATAAAATAAAAATTATATAAAATAGAATAATAAGAAATAAAATAAAAATAAATGTTAAATAAAATAATTAATAAAAAAATAAATAAGAATTAATATGAAATAAAATAATTAATAAAAAAATTAATATAAAATAAAATAATTAATATAAAAAATACATAATAAAATAAGATAAATAAAATAATAAAATATATATAATATAAATATAAAATAATAATTAAAAAATAATAATTATAATAAAAATAAATAGAAAATAAATATAAAATAATAATAAAAAAAAAAAATAATTAAAATAAAAATAAATATAAAATAAAATAATTAACAAAAAAATAAAATAAAAATAAATATAAAGTAAAAGAATAAAAATAAATAAGAATTAATATAAAATAAAATAATAGAATAAAAAGAGTAAGAAATTATTTTTACAAATCCTTTACACACATATTATATATATATATATATATATATATATATATATATATAGTTCTCATAACGGGTTTCAATCCACTTTTTAAATCGTTTAATCCACTTTCGTTCTTCTATAATAAACGATAGACACGGAAATCGTTGTCGACCTCGCTTTTTGGTCCTTGCCCTAAATTTCATTTGGAAATATCGATGCAAATGCAGAATAGTGTTCCCCATTCGAGTCTAGTCAATGTAACAAAAGGTATAAATATACATACTACCAATCTAGGTAAATACTTACATATGTGTATGTATTAACATGAATAAAACATGAATATCAATCGTTTCCCATTTATACTTAACTTTCCTTTGATTTCTTATTTATTCTTCTTTTTATTATTATATTTCTTTGTGACGTTAAAATCATGTTGAAATCTTTTTTTTTTTTTTTTTTACCAATTATCTATTATATTCATTCTCATTATTTATTTCTTTTTTTTTTATTTCTTTCTTTTGTAAAACATTCATTTCATTGATAGAAATAATCGAACGTTACATTTTGTAATACAAAGAAATATAATAAAGGATTACAAAAGTGTGAAAAATTTTATAAGGAAAGTCTAATTCTTGTTTGTTTTTTTTTTTCTTTTTATCTATTATCGATGACGAATAAAAAGTCAATAAAAATCACGTTGACAAATTTACTTTAGGATAAGAAAAACGATGTACATTTATGGGGTATTAGTTTTAAAAAATTTCGATACATAAACGCAAGGTTGGTTTAAGATATAATAGAGATTAGGTTTTAAACTATTATCTTTTTATTTTTTTTTTATTATTTGGGCTTGCACAGATTTTTTTTTCTTTATCAGATTAAAATTGATTTTAATTAAGCTTAGCTAACAAATTATTTGCCAATATGAACCAAGTTGGTTTTATCGATTATTCAACTATATACAACGAAATATCGAATAATTTGTTACAATATACTAATCATACTAGGATAAATTTTCACATGTTTTATAAATTCTAACGAAGATTACATTATCATCATTATTAAAACAAATGAATTCTAGTAAAATTACAAGATTACGAGTTGAGGAAAAAGAAAACAAAAGGGAATTAAATTTAAACGACTAGATTGGTAGTTTATCAGAATATTTTATACTAATGGTTTTTTTTTTTTTCTTACATTACAGAGATACCTATCACAGTATGGATATTTACCATCCGTCAATCCTGAAAATGGTGGAATTATTTCGGAGGAATCGATGTCACAAGCTATCTCAGAATTTCAAGCACTTGCTGGAATTAACATAACTGGTAAGTTTTTCTTTTTTAATAAAATTCCAATCTATTTACTTTTCTAAATCATTATTATCTTCGACAAAATAAAGTAAAATAAATAATTATAACAAATTAAATTGTTACACAACATGATTGTAACATTTTTTTAACATTGTATCAACAAATTGACACAATGAAACGTTTTGTCAAATATTCGGAATAAAAAACAAATTTTAAAATAAAATAAACAAAATTTGAAATTAAAAAAAGAAAAGATTACAAAATGATAAAACAACAACAAAAATATAATAATAATAATAATAATAATAATAATAATAAGAATAAATTAATAACAATTAAAATTTGTAATAAATAATTCAAATATTTTTCACCAACTCTACACTTTTTCAATTCATCCTAATACTTTCATAAATCATTTTAAACAAATTCTAAAACATTTGATTATTTATTACACAAATTATTATATACAATACATATAATAATAATAATTTACATAAATAAGTTACCATATACGTTTTATTTCATATGAACAGAAATATTACTCTACTTTTAAACGTGTTTTAAAGAACATGAATCAGCAAACCCCTTAACGTGATCGTCTCTACATATTTTATGTATTACATACTTTAAACATATGCGTATATTCAATGTCGTATTCACATGACTCACATGGTGAAACATGTGCAATGTAAAATTAGTAAGATCAAACTAATTAAAAAGAGACGCATGAATTAACCTATTAGATCTATAATCATACATGCATAATAACTACATAAATATGTGTATATATATGTAAGTTGAATATCAAAGTCCCAGTTTCAAGTCAAGTCATTCTTTGTAATACATTATTGATTAATCGAACAAAATCCTATCTTTTAATAAAACCCATATATATATATTAGGTCGAGTCATAAGTAACTTCCGATGCGGTTATGTAGAATCTATTTTTCGTATTTACCTACTATAAGTCACCGTAACAAACGGATTTTCGATATCACTATATAAAAGAGGATTCAGTTAGTCTTCTGTTAACTTTTTATGCAGTCAATGTTACATTTAACCGTTTTTCTTAACCACTGAAATGGATAGTAAAAAGTGCATATTCGACATGCAATGCTTTAGGAATTGAAACAAGGCAATAGCAATAAAGTGACAACTGAAAAAGTATGCAGCGTATACAGTGCAGGACTGATAACTGATAGGGCAGTCAGAAATTGGTTTGTAAAATTCCGTTCTGGAGATACGATCTTAAAAGATGAACCGAGTGCAGGACGTATTTCCGACTTTGATGAACCTTTTAAAGGTAATATTGGAGCAAAATCCAATAGATACGTTGAACAATTGCAAAGAGTGCAAAAAAAACTCCATGAAAGGTGTCTTGCACTTATCAGTCGCAGAAACGCCATTCTTTGTCTCATGAAAAACGGAAGTTATTTATGACTTGACCTAATATATATATATATATATATATATATATATATGTATAAAAAATATTTATATATTTGTATATTTATATTTATATTTTTTTCATTTATATATATATAATAAAACTGCATATATTTGAACGAATTATTATTCCCGCCAAAGGATGTAAGGAAATAAGGACCTTATAGGAGGGACGCGTCATGTACATTGCTAGGCTGAAAATGTGGGGGGACAGCTTCCGTTACATCGCGCACCCATGTTTATCTTTAGTATGTATTAACGGCTGTGGTTAGTTTAAGTTTGGAATACTTATAGTTTTTATTGTGATATTTATATTTAATTGTTTTTTTTTTTTTTTTAGTAGTTTTCTATAAGTGTAAGTTTAATTTACTCATTTAATAATTACAAATATAAATGTACAAACCTAACCTATAACTTATCGTTTGAATCATTCGCGCGCAATCACGTGACTACACGAGTTCCTGTCCCCCAGCAATGTACATGGCGCGTCCCTTCTATAGGGTCCCTATAAGGAAACATGGAGTAGCGCCGTCTAGATCACTTATTACGAAGCTTTCCAGTAGTGTCACTTTGCGACAGGAACGTGTATGTTATAGTTAGCTCATATTACAAAACATACTATTAACTATAGTTATTCTTATTTGTGTCAATATATAATACATTAGTTTCTATCAACATATATATGTATTGCAATTAATTAGCCTGCGTCACCCTCTTCTTGCTAACAAGGTTATATGTACAGGTTCATAGGGAATACTGTTGGTAGGAATGTTTTAGAAGTTTTTAAAAAAGTTCGTTGAACACGTGCCTATAACGAAAATTATTTTCTCCGAAATTTGCGTTTATAATTACTTCTTAGTTCACATTGAAGTATGTCGGGTACATCAGAAGCTGAAGAAAGTTACAAATTAAATGGAGAAAATTATAGGACATGGAAAATGGCAGCAAAAATGTTTTTTATTTATAATCATTTGTGGCCGTATGTAACCGGTGATGCAAAGTTAAGTGCAGACGCAAGTGCAGAAGAACGACTAGCATATAATAGCAAGGTTGATGAGGCACTTGCCGCTATTGCAATGTTCATTGAAGAAGACCAACAGATGCATATTGCTAATTGTAAAACTGCTAAAGAAGCTTGGACAAATCTTCAGCAGATATATCAACCGAAATCTAGACAGAGAATACTGCTATTAAAAAAGAAAATGATAAGGATAAGGCTTACAGAAAATAAGTCAATGGAATCATATTTATCGAGTATAAAATTAATAGCTGAATGTTTACAAGATGCTGGGTTAAAAATGAAAGATAAGGATTTAGCTTATGCAATGTTATCAGGGTTGCCTGACTCATATGATTCTCTAGCTATGTTGTTAGCTAATTTAGATGACCAGAAGTTCACTTCAAAAGAAATTGAAAAATATTTATTGATAGAATATGAAAAAAGAATGTCCAAGGATCAGGATAAAGAATCCAAAGAAGAAGTTTCTCCTTACCAAGTGAATAAGACTGTAGGTCGTCCACTAGAGTACAAAAAGCAAGGTAGAAAGTGTTATCACTGTGGAAAGATGGGCCATGTTGTAAAACAATGTTATAAGAAAAAGTCTGAGGAAAATAATCAGACTAGGTTAAACCAAAAAGGAATAGGTACTTCATCAATACACCTCTATCATACGGAACCTCATTATGAGTTCGATAGTGCTGCTACACATCATGTACGTAAAGATGAATCGTTGTTTCTGAATTTAAGAAAAATTAAACCAAAACTATAGAGAGTTGGAACAACTGAAACGTTGGACAACGAAGGTCAAATAACATTCATGGCTGAAGGTGTAATAGGTGCATAAGTTATTATGTCACCTACATTGAGTACCTACCTACATTGATGATAATATTAATTATGACAAAACTCTTAAGGATGTCTATTATATTTCAAAATGTAAAAGAAATTTATTGTCAGTTACACGGATAAAAAAACATGTAACAACCGTTGTTATGCAGTATGAAACTGAAATAATTATATATATATATACACATGTAAAAATTATCGATAAACATTGAATCAGAAAATTGACACAATAAACGTTTTGTCAAATATTAGGAATAAAAAAACAAATTATAAAATTAAAAAAAATAATAAAATTATAATACACATCCTATTTGAACATTGAAATATTTGTACTACCTATTTGAACCTATTTGAACATTGAAATATTTTTACTACGTTAATGTTGAAATAAAAAAAAAATGAAAACAAATCAAGAAGAAAAGTTTGCAAAATGATAAATCTCGTTCGATCATTGTATATTATTGCATATTTAAAAGGAAAAGTGCATTCTTTGGTGTCTAGACAGTAAAAAAGGACCAACAGAATCCCAGAACTAACTTCGAAGGATTATTTTTGTTGGAGGATACTTTTAAGTAAGTAAAAAGTATTGAAAAAATTATTGGAAATAGTTGTTCGAAGAAACAACAAAGATACAAGAAGCTCTTCTCTTTCTCTGAGTAAATTTCGTTTCGAGGGGAATGAAAAATATTAAAAGAGTCGTAGAAGGTTTGTCGTGGAGGCAAACATTTTCCTTCGATCATTGTCAAGGTCATAGCCTTGACACACGAGAGAGAGAAAGAGAAAAAGAAAACAAACGAGAAAGAATAAACGAAGAGAAACTCGTCAAACAAGTTTGAATTTTATTTTAACGTGAAATTATCTTTGTACTTACATTTTGTTTATTTTTTAAATTTGACTCTTTTTTTTTTTTGACAAATTTTCACACTGGATACAAAAATTGCTTTTTCGTTTTATATAAAAAAGAGAATATTGTAAGAAATATTTGTAAGAATATTGTAAAAGAAGAAAATAAAATTACACGGTCACGAAGTGAAATGATTCGTCAATGAAAAATGATAAAAGAGGATCATATGAAAAAAAAAAAAAAAAAGAAGAAAATTGAGAGAATGAGAAACCTTTAAGCTACAGGTAATTTTTCTTCGATTCATCATCATCAACGTTAACGATGACACTTTAAAAAGTATGATTCAGAGTTCGATGAAACACGTTAATGTTGTAGGTGGTAGTAGTGGCGCTTCTCCTCAACCATGATGATTCATAATAATGGTAGGGTATTACACGTTGGTTGGGGGTTTACTGCAAAAACTTGTTGCTAAGTGAAATTTGTAATACGTATAAATGAAATAATAAAACAAACAAAAAGAAACAAAATATTACAAAGTATTTTATTAAAGAAAAAATAATTCTAACCCTTTAACTGACACACCAAAATCATATGTTTTGTCCAGAATACCACAGCATTATTTTTATTGTTCAAAAAATATAATTGTGTGTAAAATAATAATAATAAATTGACCTTAGTAGCACAAAGTATTGAAAAATATTGAATACATGTGTATTTAATATTAAAAAGAGGTTCAATGCCTTTATAATATTAAATACACATGCATTCAATATTTTTCAATATTTTGTGTTATTAGGGGATGTTAATAAAAAATTTTAATTGTTCAATAGGGCACTTTTTATTTCAAAATATCTTCTATATATCGGTCATATTCAAATACACAAACTTTCAACTTCCATTTAATTTTTTTACAATTGTAAAAGGTTCATAAGTTTCGGTTACCAATGGCCACCGTGGCAGTCAAAGTGGTAAACACGATATTAAACGCAATAGATACAACAATAAATAGTTTGTAGTTTCTTAGTGTTGAATCAGGAAGAAAATGAGATGTACAGATAATAATGTAATTAATTTCTAATGAACCATTACTAATACAATCAATATTCAAGTGACGAGTAAATAATCTTTAGAATAATTCGCCATTTTTCTTGGAACACAAATAGAAGGAATGTTTCATACCAATTATTAGCATTGTTGAGAAAATTACAGTATAAAAACGTGCAATACGTTTAATATTAATACGTAATTGTTTTAACACGTAACACTTAAACGATTTGAAAAAAAAAAAAGAAAAACAAAGTAACCCGTGGAATTTATTAGTTGGATTGTAACAAATAAAAAAGAAAAAACTTATATCATTTAAAAAAAAAAAAAAAGAAAGAATGGAAATAAAATCTGATCCGATGAAAAAAAAAAGAAATTAAAAAAAAAAACAATGATGTGTATGTGATTTAAAAATGGACAACGTACAATCCTATAATAAAAAAATGTCTGACAGTGAGTGAGATAATAAAATATAATAAATACGATATATCGGAAGAGAATACACAAAGTGTCTCGAAAGGAATGGGTGTCAAGGATAAATTCCACGTAAGCGTTAAGAAGGAATTAATACGAGATAAGTGAAGAATATACCCCCAAGTTTATGCTGCTAAAGATAATACGTGTATAAAATAAAAAAAAAAAATAAAAAAACAATATGTACACGTGATTCACGAATAACGAATTGTTATCAATGGGATATTGAATTAAAATGATAAAAAAAGAAATAAAAAAAACGAATCGAAAGAAACGATTAAATAAAATATAATGAATGGATGGATATAAAAAATAATGGGAGGGAGGGGACAAAAAATAAATTTAAAAAAAAGGAAAGAGAACGAAGGTAAAACCGGAAGAATTATCCAACGATAAAAATTGTATGAATATTCTTGATTGTATATGTATAAATGTATATATATATNTGTATATATATATATATATATATATATATATATATATATATATATATATATATATATATATATATATATGTGCTATGCATTTATTATTATTATATATAAAAAACATATTGTTTGAATAAAAAACGTGATTACGATTATGACAAAAAGTTACGAACTTCCTAGATATGAATAAATGATTAAGAAATGTTTTCTTGTTCAGTCTACCGATGAAACGAGATCGATATCTTGATTTGTAATTTTAGATAAGAGACAATTGCATCAAATATTTCGATACAATTAAATTGTTTTATTCTAAAATAATTGTAAAATAATTTTAAAATATTTTTTTTATTTACAATTAATTGAATATTTAATTACAATTAATTAAAATTTTGAATGTTTAATTACAATTAGTTATATTTAAAATGTTTCATTTGATTAATAACACTTTAATTGGCGTAAAATGGCGGCGGTGATAGGCGGAACATTGGCTGTTATTTTATTTATAACTTTATATATATATTTAAAATTATACGTAAAATTAAATTGGTTGTTTAATTGTTGTTTTTTGTTTTATGTTAATTTTTTCGTGAATGACAATAAAGTTTTTTTTACATTAATTCTTGAAAAATATTACTAGGCCCCTGACGATGTTTGACTGCGTACACGTGCTGCCATTAAAGTGTTAAAATTAAACCATTAATGCAATCATTTATTAAATTATTTTATTCTAAAAGAATTATAAAATAATTTTGGATTGTTTATTTATTAGAGTTAAATGAAATAATAAAAAATCAAATAAATATATTTTACCAACGCTTAAGTTGTAACATTTAAAGTAACTATATATTAGTCTAGTAATTTAATAAATTATTAATGCAATTGTTTATTAAATTGTTTTATTCTAAAATAATTGTAAAATAATTTTGAATTATTTTTTCTATTAGAGTTAAATGAAATAATAAACAAACAAATAAAAAAAAATGTATCTTACCAGCACCTATATTATCACATTTAAAGTAACTATATATTAGTCTAGTAATTTAATAAATTATTAATGCAATTGGTTATTAAATTGTTTTATTCTAAATTAATTATAGAATAATTTTGGATTATTTTTCTATTACAATTAAATGAAATAATAAAAAAACGAATAAATGTATCTTACCAAAACTTAAGTTATAACATTTAAAGTAACTATATATTACTATAGTAATTTATTTATAAGAGAGTGTACGTGAATATAGTAAATATATAGGAAGATGTAAAATGCATAAATAATTGATCGAAGGATACACGCACATCCTCGCACATATGCAAATATTTGTTCAACCATTTCGTGCTGATAATAATAGACCATAAACGTTGTTTCAAGGATCGATACAAAGTCGTGCAATAAGAAACCATCATCATACAATGGATATTAAGCATATAATCCATACAAAAAAAAAAAGATAATTTTTAAAAAAATGTTCAATAAATTAATCAAAAAATAAATACAAATGTAATATCACAAATATCACGAGAAAATAAATATTTATAATAAATTATAAAATTATAATGAAAACAAACTTGTAACGCATCAAACATATATTACACAAAAAATTATATAAATAAAAGAATAAAAGAAACATTTTAATTGACATTTGTAATTTATGTTTCAGGTTCCATGAATGAAGAAACGTCCTATTACATGTCCTTATCAAGATGTGGTGTTAAGGATAAAGTAGGACCAAGTTACGATGGAAGATCGAAAAGATATGCACTTCAAGGTTAGTTCAAATTTTATATTGAAATTATTTATTAAACAAATAATTTTAAATACGTTAATATATACGTTATCCAAATATTATAATCATATCGAAGAAAAAAAGAAAATTAAATAATCTAAATATTAAACTAAACGGTTTTTTTTTTTTTTTTAATATGAGAAAAATTGTTAAAATAATTATTAGCCCTTAGAGTGCTATGGACGCATATATCCGTTTGGTAAAAATTACTAGCATGGTCGTTCAACGCTTATATATATTTATTTGTTAATATTAATGTAAAATAATATAATATTTATATCAATTAATGAAATTATATTCAAAAACAAAAACTTTAATTATTAAATATAATTTATTATTAATAAATAATTCCGTTCCTACGAAACATTTTAGTTAAAAATATTCAGCACTCAAAGGGTTAACCAATCGATATGCAATCAAATAAAATTTCAACACTTTCTGCACGTAGAAAATTTGTCTTTGTCATAAAAAAAAAAAAAAAAAACATTGTAAAGCGTAACAATTATTATTTCCAAACTATTCTATCCCTGGGATATGGCATAATCGATTAGTTACCTAATCGTTTAATATGCATTTAATAAATTCAACGTACAATGATTTAAAATGATTTTTAATCGATTTATATTTAAAAAGATATTTCAAGATTTTTGTCTTATTGTTTAATAAAATTCATTCTTACAAATAATCCAATCGATTATGTTCATGTTCGTTTATAGTTTAACACGAGAGGTGTTCTAATAGACATAGGTAACAGGAGTTTCAACTTCCGGTCTCTGTCATTATCGTTCCAGGTCGTCGATGCAAACGCAGTCACCCTAAACGACTTGTTAGTGCTAATAAAAAATTCTCGGAAAAAATCTCGAATGTCTAATCGAAATTTCTAATTCAACAACGTGAAATATATATTTCTTATTGTTAGTGTCGAAAAATTTAGAAATCGTTTGAAAAAGAATGAAACAAAATTTACTATTAACAATGTTATATAATATATTATTATTATAAAAGAATATTAATTCATTAAGTATTATTTACAATTAATTTATTTTTAATTAAGTTATTAATTAAAAATAATTATAATTAAGTAATATAATAATTAATATTAATCATTAAATTAAGTAGTAGAAAAAAGTTTAATGATAGAATAATATAAATAATTAATAAGTTAGTAGAAATGTAATTAGTGAATATTATTATAAACAATGAATATAATAAAATATATATATATTATTATTAGATCATCTACACTTTGTTCTAATCTTCTTTAAAATTAATATTTTAAATTAACTAGATAAAACAAACAAGAAATGATTGCATGCCTTATCATCGAAATATGTTAATTGAACGAATAATCGTGAAAAAAAAAAAGAAAAAGATATGACCGACCAATAACCATGACTTTGAACTTTTTTTCAACGATCACAGTCGTGTTTCGATATTAAAACTCGAATAAAGTTAGAACATGAACGAGATCATCGATGCGTACCTCCTCTATGCATTTTTGTTGTACGACCAATTGTATCAAAAGTTCTGTTAGTCGAACTAAATCAAACTAGAACGGACGTTGTAAAAATAATTTCAAACAATTTGTTTTTTTTTTTAAATATACACCATCGGTATTATATTTTTTATAAATAAATTTTAATTAATACATATAATTATACTATACGATTTATTCATTAAAAGTATCAATTACCCACGTAACGGCACGTTTTAAAAATGATCAACCTTACGTAAAGAAGAAAATGAAAAAAGAAAAAAAAGACAATAAATAAAAAAAAAAAAAAAAAGTAAAATAAGATAATAAGATAGAAAATCGTAGGATGAAAAAATCATAACGACTACGTGTTGTTTGTTATCTCATAGGTTTTCCGCTATATCGTAAATAAATTTTTACATAACCTCAACACGATCATAATTATAGCAACGCGTGCATATGAGAAACGCATCGATTGCATAAATTTAAAGTTACACGGCAGTGATGCATTGATGACACGCAAAATTGTCATTAGTGGTTAGATTCAGGGTCGACTTGATACTTAAAAAAAAAAAAAAAAAACCCTCAAGTTTTAACAAATCATTCTCAAAATAATAAAACTTTTATAATTCTCGTATCAATTTGATTTGTTTCTACCCCCTTCTTCACCCCAATTAATTTTCTTCTTTTCTTTTTAAATATTTTCTAAATAATAATAATAATAATAATAATAATAATCAAAGTTTGTTCATATTTAATCAAATATCAAATCAAAATCAAAAATATATGTATATATTATTTTTGTATACAGGATCAAGATGGCGAGTTAAAAAATTGTCGTACAGGATAAGCAAATATCCTGCTGGTTTGGTTAGATCGGAAGTGGATAAAGAAGTTGCTAAAGCTTTTGGTATTTGGTCTCAATACACCGATTTAACGTTCACAGTTAAACATACAGGCTCGGTAAATATCAACCCCCATAAATCCTCGTTTGAAAAACAAAAAACATTTCTTTTCTCATTAATGACAATATTTTATTCAGGTTCACATCGACATCAGATTCGAAATTGGTGAACACGGAGACGGTGATCCTTTTGATGGTCGTGGTGGTACTTTGGCTCATGCTTATTTCCCAGTGTATGGTGGTGATGCCCATTTCGATGACGCTGAACAGTGGACGATAAACAGTTATCGTGGTACAAATCTTTTCCAAGTGGCGGCTCATGAATTCGGACATTCACTTGGATTAAGTCACAGTGATGTTAAAGCTGCCCTCATGGCACCATTTTATCGTGGATACGAACCTAATTTCAATTTGCATTCTGATGACATTGAGGGTATTCAAGTGAGTTTATTATAATACTATTTTAAATTTAATCTCCATTTCACATAAACATTCAATCTATTCTATGTAATTATTTACAGTTAATTAAAGATCATTCATTTATGTTAGAATTGAATTTTGAAATATGCATGAGGAAGATTACTATATTTTTTTTTTTATATTATAATCCAAATGAACGGTTTGCTAGATCATACATTTAAACATTTATTATTGTTTGATTTTATATTAGGCTCTGTATGGAAGAAAATCAGGTTGGGGACACGGGCCAACGAATGTTCATCCAACATCGATACCACCAACCGGTGAAGAAGATCCAGAACTTTGTATGGATCCTAAAATCGATACGATATTTAATTCAGCAGAAGGACACATTTACGTTTTCAAAGGTACATAATAGAACAAGAAATGACTATAACATTAGTCATTATTTTAATAATCTTTCAATTGATAAAACTAATTCAATTTGTAGGAGAACATTATTGGAGATTAACAGACGATGGTATAGCAAGTGGCTATCCTAAACGAATTAGTAATTCTTGGAAGGGTCTTCCGGGTAATATCGACGCCGCATTTACATTCAAGAACGGTAAAACTTATTTCTTCAAGGTAAGAAGAACCTCTAGTAGTAAAAATAATAAAACAAAATTTCGTGAACAATAGAAACATCAGAATGATTGTTATTTATCTAGGGATCAAAATATTGGAGGTATATTGGAAAACACATGGACGGACAATATCCCAAAGAAATAAGCGAAGGATTCACAGGAATCCCTGATAATATCGATGCAGTTACAGTATGGACTGGAAATGGAAAGATTTATTTCTACAAAGGAACGAAATTCTGGCGATTCGATCAAGTACAAAAGCCACCAGTTAAGAGTACTTATCCAAAACCTATTAAAAATTGGGAAGGTCTTCCGGATAATTTGGATGGTGCTGTTATTCATCAAGGATACACGTATTTCTTCAAGGACAAGGGATATTACAGATTCAACGATCGAACTTTTTCAGTAAGAGTTTCATTTCTTTTTTTTTTTATATTCTTCCCTTTCTTATATTTTAATCAAAGAAATATATAAAAATGATATATGTTTAATTTGTACAGGTTGACATTGCCGAGCCAGCTTTTCCAAGGGCGACAGCTTATTGGTGGTTCGGATGCAAATCAGCCAGTAAAGGGACGTTAGGTAATATCCGATGGCAGGGTGAAAGTCCTGGAGAATCATCCCTCTTTTCCGGCATGCTGGATGCGGACAATCATGACTCGTACGACGACAATAATGATGATGATGATAATAAACATGACGACGACGTTAGCGACATCATTTTAGATGCAGGTATAACGCATAGCTCAGAACAAAAAAATGGCCTTTAATTTGCCTTCAATTCGTATCACTAAGTTCCAGATTATCTTTACTCCCAGAACAACTAATTCTAATATCTAACAACGACAAATATTTCGTTAAAAATCCTTACAAATAATAATTAAATGCATTTATAGCTAAACCAATATTTTGGTCTTTTAACGAAATATTTGTCTTAACGATAAATTGGAACTTTTTTGCTTGGGACAAAACGAAAGCAACAACAAAAATAGATAAAAACAAATAATGGCTAAATAACACACCAAAAAATTGGGCTTAACAAAAAAAAAGAAATTATTTTTAATGAAGGAAAATATTTGATATCAATTAAGAGAGAAATGGTGTTTCACCATCTGGCTAAATAACATACCTAAGGGCTTTAATTACCATCATATTCAAAGAGATATATGTGTATGTGTGTGTTTGTGTTTTTTTTTTGTTTTCTTTAACTCGATTAATATATTTTAATTATTTTTATTTTTTTTATTTTTTTTTTTTCAAATAAATAAAAGCGGTAACAAAAAGTTAGCGAGTAATTTTCTCGGAAAAAAAAAAAAAACAAAACGGAAGACGGACGGTTAAAATTCTCACCAGAACGGAAGAGGGTAATGTTTTCTTTTTTTTTTTCTTTCTTTCTTTTTTATTGTAGATTATTACCAACACGAGAGACATTTATTTTACTTTTTCCGGTTTTTCTTTATAATAAACGAGAATGATATTATCATACGTGATTCGGACGTGACGTAATAATTCGAACGAATCTCTATGAATTATTATATTTATTCTCGCGTTCTTTTCTTTTACTTTTTAATTATCTTTTTCGTCACGATTATAACAAATTAGATGGAGAATTAAATTATTATTATTGTCGTCATAGTTAAAATTTGTTTCCCCCCCATAAAAAAACATATGATGCTGCTTAACTAACTTATTATCGAAGACTACTAACCAAAATCTGAAAAAAAAAACAAAAAATTAAAAAATGAATTCGCATTCATGTTTAATTTTATTTTTTATTTTATCTTATCGTATATCGTTTTTTTCTTCAAGTTACAAAAATTAAACGAAATTAAGAAAAATTAAAAATAAATTAAATTAAATTAATCAATAAAAATCAAATAAATTGAAATTAATTAATTAAAAATAATTTAAAAAAAAAAAATTAATATGAAATAAAATTATTAAGAAAAAAAAGAACAATTAAATTAAAAAAAAATTATCTCGGAAAAGTAAATGAATAATACGAAAAGCATTACACACAAAACAAGCCTAACATTCGCGAACATGATCATATCATCGTGTTCTTGCATATTCGTGACGTCCTATTGTCCTCTAATTGTTTTTACTGTATTGTAAAAAAAATCACAAATCTCGGAATTTATGTTTTTTCTTTCCTCGTTGTAATTTTTTACAACAAAACATTCATCGAAAAATTTTCTTTTCTTTCTTTCATTTCAAAATTATTTGCATAAAATTATGTAAAGATTTTTGAATCTTTTTCTAAAACTTGTTTTGATTCATTTTTGTTTAGACAAATATTCAAAAATTCAAAAACCTAATAAAAGCCCCGAAGTATTTTATTAGCCAGTTGGCGAATCGAACACGATCGATATTATATTCCATCTTTCTCTTTTTCCTATCGTATTTGTTTTTTTTTTTTTTTTT